AGAGAGACACAAAGATGATAGAGTAGTTTTGAGGCTGACTTATGTAAGGTAAGAGCAGTTCAGTGCCTTAGCATCTGGCATTTTAATGTGTCTTGGTCTTGGATTCTATGATATATTTTCCTGTCTGGTTTTATGCCAAGCATTGATTAATAAGCTTCATCAGAAAACTCACCAATTCAGCCCTGAAGAACAACTTCAGGTCTTTCCAGAAGAGCCAACCTATGTCAGCAGGAAACAGAAGAGAAATGGTACACATCCATTGAAAACTAATGTCCCCTGACTTGAAAGACCACTTATGCTGATGACACTCTCACTTTATCGTGAGCAGAGGTTTGGCCTGTGCTACCAGCTAGAGGAGGAAAACAAATTATTGGAATAGGAAAGATGACATTGATGGTACTTTCTCTTTCTGCAAGGCATTTTGCTTTTTGATGAAAAGACAAAAATGGCATTATCTCACAGGGTGAGATGTCAAACATAAATGGCATTATGTTTTCATTGTAAGCTGAGTCACATAAATGAGCAAAGCTATGTAGGATGCTAACAGGCCACCAATTTGGGAAGAAGGGTCAACACAGTGAGATCTTCTTGCCCAGAACTTTCTTAGTTTCTCCTCTTAGAAGTTTCTCCTCTTGAGTTTCTCTCAACTTTCTTAGCTGCCCCTCCATTTGTCCTAAAAGCAGATGGATGTGAACTCTAACCCTGAAGTTCCCATAGGATCTGAAAGGCAATTCCCATAGGATCTGTGTTCTGATGGAGTAAGCTCTTCACCTTTCAAAATGTGAGATCTGGGAGAGTTGGGGGAAAATCTGAGGATGTGGCAGTAAAGTGAACCAACAAGGAAACTTTGGCAGACAGCAGCTAGCAGCTCAGCACACTCATCTCTCTTTACTCTGGACCCAGGGCTAGACTACATTTCCCAACCTCCATTGGGGTTAGGCTGCATTGACTCAGTTCTGGCCAGTGGAATTGAATGGAAGTGATGTGCACCACTTCCAGGCATGGTGCATAAAATCCTAGCACACAACCCTCCTTTCTCTTTCTTCTCTTACTGGCCAGATGGATGTCAATATGGATCTCTTAGAAACCAAGAGTTAAATATGTCGGAATCTGTTCAGTAGAGATCCTTGAAAGACTAAATGGAACAGAAGCCCATCCTCACACCTGTCACCAATTGGAATTCATGTGGGCCCGAAATAAGCTTCTGTTGTATAAAGCCATTGAGCATCAGGGGTCTTTCTGTTGCAACAGCTACCACAGACTTATCTATAATAATAGCCTAGAATTTCAAAACAGCAAGTAGGGAAAACAGTTCTAAGAAAGGAGAAGGTCTGGTTACTCAAGCATGAGAAATCCATTTCCATCTATTGCTTTGATTGTGTATGCCGACTGAAAATGATAAAAGTCAAAGATTCGTATCTACTGTAATATAAATTCAAGATGAAATGAAACTACCTTGATCCATTTTAAAATGTCTACAGAAAATTGAATTTGCACTTACAGCTCTTTTAGAACACATTTTTATGTCATTTTCTGTGATTAATGTGTTAGAGGATTTTAGTGTTGTCACTTTGAGACTGTTAAAATGTTTCTTTTGATAAATTAGGAAGATGCATCAGAAATTATTTCTTTGAACCTAAGTATGGAGAGAACATTGTAACATTCAATCCTTATAGTTTCTCTTGGCAATAATAATTAAGCTACAGTCCTGAAAATTAAATGTATAAGGATTATTACCTTTTACTAATATTTTAACACAAAATTATAAACAAATACAGATTAATGCTCCGGGGAGACAGAGACTTTGTTTACTGTTTGCTGATTATGTTCGTTCTCTGCTAGAACCAAGTTACTGTGAGTAGGAAAGTAATCGGAAAATTTTGAAAAATAGATGAGTCTTTCAAGATTCATCATTTTTTTCATGCGCATCCTTTGAATACAGACAATGATCATACAAACATCTCCATCCAGGTCGTACTTTATCTAGTGTGGTATTTAATGTTTAATTGTTTTTTTTTTTTCTGTTTCTACGTCGCTTTGGGATTTTCCATATTTGAAGATTTATGAGTAATAATAGGACTCTTGGCTTAGTTATATCTGTAGTTTCCATTAATACCAAAATTAAAATTTCCTCATTATCATTCATCTACATCCTCATTTATATACAATTTAAAACCTTGAAAAATGTTCTTCTTTCCTTTATTTAATTCATTTAAATTTTAAAATGCAATTTACTTATTTCCCATGTAGATTTTCAAACCAGGAAGAAATGTAACTAGCCTTTCTGCTCTGTCTTACATTTGTCCTTAATTATAAATTGGGAAATTGACATTTTGCTTTAAATATTAGATTTTCCTTATTTAAGTACCTGTGAGCCTATTCCTAAGAGAGTGACCATCGGGCCCACTGACCGAATCTATTTTTTTAATCTGCAGTGGCGCCAGACCAGGATTTTGGTGACATTCCAAGGCACTGTCACCCTGTGAGATTCTGCCTGGATGAAATCTCTAACTCTTGCCTGCAATCTGCAATGTACATTTATGTCACTTACAGAGATCATCAGTGTAACTCTGACCTAAGTTTGTCAGGAGGTTTCCAGTTCGTGGTACCTAAGCCCCGGTAGAGCTACCTGTGTTTTTACATTTCTCCTTTTTTTCCTTTTTGTAGAAGAAGTATATCATAGAATTAAGTGAAAGAAGGATAATCTTAGGCTGGAATGTCCTCTGGAGTCCCGCTCAAATAGTAAAATTTGCATTTCTTTTCAAATCCACTGTTTTCTACTGTATGCATTACTTTGGAGGGCTTCTGTTGGCACCAAACTTGGGGAGCTTTGTGAAGCTTCCTGGGAGATTCACAAGGAAGATTCATGAAGGAATAATCAAACTCTTTTCTGATGAACTGGAAAGTGTGGCTTTTCCTCTCAGTTATTATCCTGGAAGCATCTAAATACTCTCCACATCTCTTCTTTTGCAGCTTTTTCTCAGTGCATATTGGTAATAACTAAATATTTTCTCTAAAGATTAATCCACATAAGTACTTCTGAGTAATGTCTTTCCCAAAATAAAACAGGACTTTCATAATTGATCTAAATGACAAAGCAATCAAAATGGGGAAAGGATTTATTTTATTTTAAGTTCTGGGGTACATGTGCAGGATGTGCAGGTTTGTTACATAGGTAAACGTGTGCCATGGTAGTTTGCTGCACCTATCGACCCACCATCTAAGTATTAAACCCAGCACGCATTAGCTATTTTTCCTGATGCTCTCCACCCCTCTGCCCCCCGACGCCTGACAGGCCCTGGTGTGTGATGTTCCCCTCCCTGTGTCCATGTGTTCTCATTGTTCAGCTCCCACTTCTGAGTGAGAACACGTAGTGTTTGGTTTTATGTTCCTGTGTTTGTTTGCTGGGGATAATGGCTTCCAGCTCCATCCATGTCCCTGCAAAGGACATGACCTCATTCAAAAGAATGTTTTTTATTTGATGTTCTTTATTAACTTTGAGATAGTTGTTTATATAGGCAGTTAAACAAATTAGAATTTTAGTAATATTAATAATATAGTGCAATATAATTAGGAATCACACCACCTGATAATTAAGCCCAATTTCACATTTGGAGGGAAAAGAAAATGTGTGTGGCACATTTGTCAGACATTCAAAGGGTTTCAACATCCTTTGCTCTTGTTCTTTAGATTCCCCTGAAGCACTGTCACTCTGGCCTCCTTCTGAATTCCATTTTTGTTGTTGAAATATTGGTCTCACTAGTGTCATTGCTGTCAGCTCCTCAGGGTGTTTATGTATTTCCCACAACACCTGGACCTGAGAGCCATTGAATATGTATTTGTTATATTTACTTGAAAAGTCCAAAAACAATTTGCTCATTAAATTTGTAGAAGACTTGGAGGGGCTAGGAGGAGTGGTCCCTAATTATTAGTAGTAGTAGCTAATAAGTTGAGTGTCATAGTCAGAATTATAGAAGTTCTCAAAAGATGAAAACCTTGTAAAAATAGAAAATACCAACACCTGAATTCAAAAATACAGAAATCAAAATTAAGGAGAGAATAGATGTGTTTAATAGCATATTACACATCGCAGAAGAGAGAGCTAGTGAACTGGAAGAGAGCTCAAAAGAAAGCATCAAAAGTGAATCACAGAAAACAACAAACAGAAAATGCAGATGAGGCTCAGAAACAGAGATAGGTTGAGATATACAAATACTACAGTGTTACAGTTGCCTACAGCGTTCAGTACAGTAACATGCTATACAGGTTTTCAGCGTAAGATCAACAGGTTATACCACGTAGCCTAGGTGTGCAGTAGGCTCCACTATCTCACTCTACAGTGTTCACACAGCAACGAAATCACCTAATGACACATTTCTCAGAATGTGTCTCTGTCGTTAAGCAACACATGACTGTATTTCAAAATAAGTTTGCAGTTTTACCTGATGAGATTCTGATGAGGCTAATTATTAATTATTATAAATTAGTAAAAATCCAGATGACTTCTTATATTGTATTTATTAATGAAATTGGTTCATCCTCACTAGAACACTAGAAATTTTGCATTTGAAAAACGTTTCTTTTAAAAATTTCAAACTCAAAAAAAAAACAAAAACAAAGGAAAAATAAATAAGAATAAAAAATAAAAATTTCAAACTCCATAAAGAATATTGTGCCTTCTTTGGTGTCTCAGAATCTGGAGATTATAGCAGATAATAATTATAAGTTTGTTGGAGAATTGGGCTGTTACCTTGAGAAAGAGATGTAAAAATCTTCACAGAGCATTCAAAAGTAAAATCGTAGGTTTGCTCTTCAGAATCAGATTGCTTTTTGAAAAAAGAAAAACCAACAAACATCCAGCTGCTTTAATTCAAAAAATAATGTTTGTCTCTGATGTTGAATTCCACAGTGCCACCCATTTGAAGTGTAGAGGGCTTTGACATCTATAGAATGAAAAGCCAAGAATATCTTCCCTGTGAACTTGTACTCTTGTGTTGCAGGCACACAAAAAATCCCTTTGGACAATTGAACCCAATGAAGGCATGGTTCCTCCAGAAACTGACATTCAACTGGCACTGACCGCCAACCTGAATGACATACTGACATTCAAAGACTGTGTCATTTTGGACATTGAAAATAGCAGCACCTATCGGATTCCTGTTCAGGCTTCCGGAATTGGTTCCACTATTGTTTCAGATAAGCCCTTTGCTCCAGAACTCAATTTGGGGGCACATTTTAGGTAAGGAAATACCATGGACCAATTGTGGTAGATGTCACATGTTGCATATGCTGAGCATCCCCTCTACTTTAAAAAATTATTTTAAGTCATTAAAACTAGCCACCTCAGTCCCTCTCCTTTCCCATCCTCACTCTTCTGCCTCCTGATGGGTATGTCAGCAACAAGAAGACATTTTCTAGCCATAACTTGGTTGCGTTCTCTAATCTGTGTCCCTTTACATGCGAGAAGAATATGGTTTGTAGGAAATGCATTCTTCTCTCAAACTGGCTACTCTGACTAATTTAGACTCTCAACCATAATTTCTCCTCTTTAATTCTAATACACTGTTAATCCCTCTCCATAAACACAGAAAATACAGATACAGCTTAGTGGTAACCTAAGCAGAATATACTTAGGAAGGTAAAAATTTACTGCAAGTGTATTTTATCAGGTATTGCAGAGCCAGCAGCTTTTTCAAAGCTTATGTCCTCTACTTGACTCCCCACCATAGCCCAACAACTGAGATGGTTTCCATTGGCTTTGCCTGATTACCCAGGAAAAGCTAGAGGGTCTAAATATTTACATAAGATGTGGTACAGTATAGACACCACTGAGCAGAACAATCTAAATGTGGATATAAAAATCAGATTTGGGCCGGGCACGGTGGCCCAAGCCTATACTCCTAGCACTTTGGGAGGCCAAGGCAGGAGGATCACTCAAGCTCAGGAATTCAAGACCAGCCTGGACAACATGGGGAAACCCCATCCCTACAAAAATACAAAAAATTCTGGACGTGGTGGCGGGTGCATGTAGTCCCAGCTACTCAGGAGGTTAACAGGTGGGAGAATCACTTGAGCCCAGGAGGCAGAGGTTGCAGTGAGCCAAGGTGGCACCACTGCACTCCAGCCTGGGTGACAGAGTGAGACCCTGTCTTAAAAAAAAAAAGAAAGAAAAAACACACACGTATACATATACACATACACATATATATGTGTACACACAGACATATATATAGATATATATGAGGAGATATATATATTTATAGAGCTGGGAGCAGTGGCTTATGCCTATGATCCCAGCACTTTATACTTTGGGAGGCTGAGGTAGGAGGATTGCTTGAGCCCAGGAATTGGAGACCAGCCTGGGCAACATAGGGAGACCCCCCACATCTCTACAAAATAAAAAAAATTAGCCTCGCTTGATGGCACATGCCTGTTGTCCTACCCACTTGGCAGGCTGAGGTGATAGGATTGCTTGTACCCGGGAGGTTGAGGCTACAGTGAACTAGGATCACACAACTGCAACTCCAGCATGGGCGACAGAGCAAGACCCCATCTGAAATTAAATAAATAAATATATATATATTTATGAGGTTTGAGTGTTAAGTGTAGAGGGTATGTGTGGGGTTTGTTCTTGATTCCTCAGGAAAGTCATGTAGCTATCACTAGTTGGCTCCTGGGGGCCAGTTGAATTTGAACTTACCTGTTGCAGTACTGTGAACAGATCTCAGAAGGGTATCCCCCCTGCCTTCTGGGCTCACAGGCCCTGAAATCAAGTCATATATGCTGTGCTTGGAGATGTGACTGACATTAATCAGTTAGGAGCTCTCCCCAAAATCCCTCCCTCTGCTCCATCTACAAAATATGGGACTTGATTGAAAATGCCGTAAACTAGTAGAAAATTAAGTAAAAAGCAAGTCACATGGTTGAATTGCATGCTTTTAGGCAAGTATCCAATTATATTTTTCGAGTCAACTAAATATAAGAATCCTCCTCTCTGCCTGTCTGTTGGCCGTAAGCTAGGGTAGTTTATCATTGCATACCAGTGCTTCTAGTTTCAAATTTCTTTTCATGCACTCAAATATAATTGTAGAAAACAATACATGGCAAACCAGACCTAATTACATGTTCTTTTAGATCTACAAATAGTGTCAAGTAGCCTTCGAAGGATATTCTGACACATGGAATTGGAGGGTTAGCTAACAGTTTTCTATCAATATAAAAGCAAACTGTAGCTTTTAGTTGCTAATTTGACCTCTGCCTAAACTTTTTGACATAAAATCACTATGCTCGCAATCTCCAGAAGAATTGCCAAAAGCAGGGCTGGGTAAACTACACCCCTCTGCCTGCTTTTGTCAATAAAGTTTTATTGGAACACAGCCATGCCCATTTTGTAACGTATTGTCTATGGCTGCTTTCACACTACAAGGGAAAGTTGAGTAGCTGTTACAGAGACCATGTGGCCCAAAAAGCCTAAAATATTTGTTAGTTAGTCCTTTAAAGAAAAAGTTTGCCAACCTCTGGTCTAAAGAAATAGCCATATGCCGCTGCTTCTAATTGCATGTTTTTAGACAACTCCCTAGGTTTTCAGAACTTTCATTTCTTGATCTATAAAATGGTAGTAAATATACTTACCATGACTGGATTGCTGTAATGATTGAATGATGTACTGTGAATAAGTAACAGACATCCTGCCTAGTAATCAGTATGTGTTTTTTATAAACAGTATATGGTTTTATAAACAGTATATGTTGTTTATTATTTCCCCCAAAAGCCTACTGCTAGCCATAAACTACCAAGTAAAGTAACTCCCTTGAGCGTGCCCCGTGGACACAGATTCACAATGTATTTAGATAGAAATGGTTATACCTGACAACTAGCAAATATTCCTTCTGATTATTTATTTGATGGTTCGACTTACCAGGCATGATATCATTTCCTAAGGAGGAATAGATGGGATGAAATCTCAAAGCCTAATAAAATTTAAAAAATAAAAAACAGTCCTGAGATGAGTTTTTCCCTAAGAATAAATTTTAAAGTAAGCCTGTGGGGGGAAAAAAAATCTCAAACAAACAAAAACACATTTGAACCATATCCAAGATCTTAGAAATCCCAGTTTTTTTTAGCAAATAGCCAGGCAATCAGAATGTTCTTAGTAAATATTTGTGGAATATATGAATGCATGATGAACAAATGAATACATGAAATTGCAACATATTTAAAGCACATTAGTCTGAGATAGGTGACCAATCACGGTGGTGTTCTGGCCCATTGCAGTCCCCTGGCCTTTGTTAAAGCTTAGAGGATATGCATGGTTTTTCTTCAAAGCTTCCTTCAAATTGAGCCCATCATTACGGGACATTCCATTCAGCCAGTAGTAATTTTCTCAGCACAGCTTGAAACCTGCTTCTCCTCCAGTAGGTATTTTGCTTTCCTTTCACTCTTCAGAGCTATTTCTCTAAATAGAATTGCTTTTCACATGAACTGAATGTGTCCTGCAGTGTGTGGGGCCTACTGGGGAAGATTGACGGGGAGTGGAAATTTTCCACAGCCCCTTACGTGGTGATGCCAACTCTGGGACCAAACCCAGGTCTGTGATTCCACACCTCTTGGCCCCCTGAGTAGATACTACCTTGTCCCATCACTGTATTAGTTTCTAGTGGCATCGTAACTTAGTCTTCCTACATTAAAAAAAAAAGTCTTATATTGTGGCTCACTGTTTTAAATCCTTCCAGAAGAGTAAATCCCAAGGGTGTAGAGCTGAACAGAACATACTTAAATGGAATCCTCTCAACACCTGTCTCTTCTTTTTCAGCCTGGATACCCATTATTACCACTTTAAGTTGATCAACAAGGGACGTCGGGTCCAACAGTTGTTCTGGATGAATGATAGCTTCCAACCCCAGGCCAAGCTGAGTAAGAAGGGCCGGGTTAAGAAGGGACATGCTCGTATCCGGCCCCAGCCCAGTGGCTCTCAGGAGCCCAGGGATCCACAGAGCCCCGTGTTTCATCTCCACCCCGCCAGCATGGAGCTGTACCCAGGCCAGGCAGTCGATGTGATACTCGAAGGCTATTCTGCTACTCCCAGGGTAAGGGGACAGCACATTTGGAAGCTATTGCTTTTTCCTAATTAAATCTCTACTGTATCTATTTCTTTTTATTTTTTTCTTTTTCTTTTTTTTTTTTTTTTGAGACGGAGTCTCGCTCTGTTGCCCCGGCTGGAGTGCAGTGGCCGGATCTCGGCTCACTGCAAGCTCCACCTCCCGGGTTTACGCCATTCTCCTGCCTCAGCCTCCCGAGTAGCTGGGACTACAGGCGCCCACCACCTCGCCCGGCTAGTTTTTTGTATTTTTTAGTAGAGACGGGGTTTCACCATGTTAGCCAGGATGGTCTCGATCTCCTGACCTCGTGATCCGCCCGTCTCAGCCTCCCAAAGGCTGGGATTACAGGCTTGAGCCACCGCGCCTGGCCTGTATCTATTTCTTAGGAAAGTTCCTTGACATTTATCTGAGGAAGGATATGGTTTCTCAAGGATTGTGTACAGTCCTGAGTTACCATGGTAGCATCTGTTGCTTTTGGGGTGCAGCTCTGCTCAGTCTTCGATTTGTTTCTATAGCTACTGTGAACCCAATCTTGAGGGAGGTTCTTATGCCCAGGGTCCACAGTGACAAGCCAGCAAGTCTCTGGTAGAAAAACATCCAGTTTTTAGCCAAAGCAGATTCTCCTATTAAGACTTAGCAGGATTAATTTAATATTCATTCAAAAAGGGTGTTTATATCGACACTCTGGGCTGCCTCTCCTATTCAGGTATTGGGACATCCCTGTTCCTTTCTTTCCAGACTGACTACAACTCACATTTCAAAACATCTTTTTTATGCGTTAATAAAAGAACCACATTTATCTTCAGCAACTCTGATTCCCTGCCTTCATTTACATGATCTCCATACATTCTACCTAAAACATTTCAGTAGATCCAAATCATCTGTCTGTTTATCCCTATTCTCTCACAGTGTGGAAATCGTTAAAAAACTAAAGGAAAGGCTTTCAAAGTCACTTAAGAGTCTCTCCCTCCCCACAAAATGCAGACCTTGTAGATGAGAAATGATGCTTGCTTAAGATCCTGCTTGTGTCACCAAATTTGGAGGTAATACTGACTTTTCCCTACACGAAATAGGAAGCAAAAAGAACTTTGTCTCCCAGTAGACACAGCTGGAAAGCTAGTCCCTTGCTTAGCTTCTCTAAGGTCACAGATTCCACTTTATTTCATTAGACTATTTCTTCATAGAGCATTTTCAGGTAAAATGCATCCTCAGTTCCAAAAAAAAAGGGGGTTATCTCTCATTGTGGAAAAGGTAATGTGTTCCTTCTCTCTGTTATTCAGGTGATCAGCCAACTTTTATTGTGTGTATACCATGTAACAAATACTGTGCTAAGCACTGAGGATGCAAAGATGAATAGAACACAGGCCGTTATCTCAAGATACTGACAGCTGTTGGAAGAGCATATTTATAATGTGGTTATCAAGAGTTGTCCATATTTTTGAAGGCATTAATTCTGAGCTGCTGGGGGACTAAACTCAGCTTAAGCTTTACTAAAAACTTCCCTGAATGTTCTTCTAAATCATGCTACATAAATGAGAAGAGACTGGAATGCATTTACATCCCTAACCTGGGCACTCTTCAATATAACCTACTCATGCTACAAATTCACTTTTGATCTTCCTGCTTTATAAAAATCTAGGCTTTTTGAGTCCAAAGAAATATTAATTCCTAATGCATGATTTTTAAATGTTTAAGTATAAAAGGCCAAAATTTGGCCGGGCTCAGTGGCTCACACCTGTAATCCCAGCACTTTGGGAGGCCAAGCTGGGTGGGTCACCTGAGGTCAGGAGTTCGAGACCAGCCTGACCAACATGGAGAAACCCTGTGTCTACTAAAAATACAAAACTAGCCGGGCATGGTGGCACATGCCTTTAATCCCAGCTACCTGGGAGGCTGAGGCAGTAGAATCACTTGAACCGGGGAGGCAGAGGTTGCAGTGAGCTGAGATTGCACCATTGCACTCCAGCCAGGGCAACAAGAGCAAAACTCCATCTAAAAACAAAAAATAAAAATAAAAAGGCAAAAATTTTCCAACTACAGTTTTCAATAGTTTAATAAGAAATCATATAACTACCATTGAACTATAAGCCCCATGAAAGATTTTATCTGTCTCGTTCATCAGTGTTTGGTACTCCCAGCACCCAACACAGCTCCTGAAGCATAAAAGATCATAATATAACTATACATATGTATATAGAACTGAATGTAAATCAACTGCCTCAGGGCAGTCAGAAATAAATACAGAATCCATCAAAGCCATGTTTAACTAACAAAAACATAATCATGTGACAAAGAGCAGCCCCTGAAGCATGCTATTCAGAAAAGTGCTCTTCCTTGTGTCCCCAGGCAGGTAGTGGGAAATCCATTTTCTCTCAGTGGGTAAATAAGTATTCTGAGTAAGTATTAAGTTATAGTTGTTCCCCAAATGCTGGCTTATCTCATTGGCAGATAGTTAAAGAGAAGCTGGTGTGCCACGCCATCATCGGGGCACAGAAAGGGAAGAGCTTGTTGATGGCTGTGAACATCACCTGTGAGTTCGTTGCGCCTCTCATCCAGCTCTCCACCAAGCAGCTCGTCTACAGACTGGAGAAGGTCAGTGGCATGTGCTGGCGAGGGCTGGGTGCTCCAACTGGGGTCAGCATGTTTACATTTTCATTTCGAAAGCTAAATTAACGGGCGTCCTTTTCCACCCATTGCTCAGCCCGTGTTTTTTAAGCTTCAGAGGCCAGTACACATTCAACTAAAAATTTTGAATCTAAACCTACAATCCTTTGACATGTAAGTTGCTGTGGAAATTCTATTTCCATCATTCCTGATGTCTAAGACCTAAGGGAAGTGGTATTCCAGTGCACTGAATATGCAGTTTAGTCAATCATCTTACTTTAACCAGGTAAAATAAACTCGAGGCAGAGGAAGGATTGGAGTAGAATTATCATAGAATTATCGATAATTATAATTATCAGTAAGAATATCTACCACTGATTGATTAGTATGTGCTAGACATGGAGCCATGTTCGTTACATACATTTACCCAGTAGTCCCTCACAGCAACCGTATGCAGCAGGTTCTGTTATCATTCCCGTGATGCACACGAGGAAACTGAGATACAGGTTAAGCTGGAGAATAATCAACTTAAAGTACTAGATTCACACTCTTTAACTTAAACGGCTCTACATAAGTGCAGACAGTAAATGTCAGAGTCAGGGGACAAGGGAGAGAAGGTAGTGGCTGCTGCTCAGGGCAGGGGGTCAGGATGGTGAAGAGGTGGGGTGGAGGAGATATCACAATAGGCTTGATCTGCCCCTAGACATGCTTCCATCCAGAATTAATTAGCATTCAAGACATGTAAGGAATGTCTGTTCTGAGTTGGGGATTGAGCTGGTACTGGAAATCTAGTGAACCAGACAGACATAACCAAAGCTAAGCTGGTTGACTTTAAACAAATTATTAAAATGTAATTGTTGAAGTCACCATTATAAACATTGCTATGAGGAAGAGGTGCAAGGTGCTGGGAGGGCGTGTACTGGGAGACGTGATCTTGTTCGTCCATGTGGTCATGGATGGATTTCTTGAGCAAGTGCCTCAAGTTGAGACTCAAAGTAAATATAGAAGCTAGTCTGGTGACAAGGGATGGGGAGAGAATTGTAGGCAGAGGGAATAGCTCACGCAAAGGGCTCAAGTTAGGAAAGGCCACCTTGGACAGAGAATGTGCCAAGGATGGCAAAAGTCCATCTGGTGATGTGCAGCCTGCCTGGGAGGCATCATCTGAACTTTGGGTTTTGTTCCAGATGGCCATTGGAGGGCTTCCAGGAAGGGAGTGACATGGTCAAATTGATTCACTGAAACCATCATGCTGGCCACTGAGTGGAATGTTTATTAAGGCCTCTCATGTGCCAGGCAGTGTTGGGGGCTAGAGATACAACAGTGAAAATAGTCCTCCCTGATAAATGCCACAGCCTGCTGGGAAGACCAAGCATTAAGTAAGTCACGGCCCCACAGTGTGATCTTTGCTGTCACATAAAAGCAGTGGGTGTGGCAGTGCCTAACCAGTCATGAGGAATCAACTGGGCTTCCTTTCATTACCTGAAGGTTTGCAGAAGAATGTTCAAGACCATTTATTTTGGTAGTGGAGTCCATCATATTTTGTTCATTAAAACAAATTAGTATCTATTGATTATCACCATGGAAAAGATGTTCTGCTAGGAGATGAAAAAAGGAGCCTGTGATCCAGTAGGAGAGGTGTGAGGTACAAGTTCAATTCAAATCAACAAGTAACTTTTGAGCAGGTGCATCAGTCACCTACAATATATAAAGCAGAAAAGACACAGCAGAGACCATGGCTTTTCATTCTCAGGAAACTTAGACTGGAACAGAAAACCAAACACTGCGTGTTCTCACTCATAAGTGAGAGTTGAACAGTGAGAATACGTGGACGCGGGGAGGGGAACATCACACACTGGGGCCTGTCATGGGGTCGGGGGCAAGGGGAGGGAGAGCATTGGGACAAATACCTAATGTATGTGGGGCTTAAAACCTAGATGATGGGTTGATAGATGCAGCAAACCACCATGGCACATGTATACCCATATTGTAAACCTGCACGTTCTGCACATATATCCCAGGACATAAAATAAAATAAAATAAAATAAAATAAAATAAAATAAAATAGTAAAGTAAAGTAAAGTAAAATAAAATGGCTTAACAGATAAGTAGGGAAGGTGGACGTTGTTAGTTTAGCTTCCTGTCACTGAAATCCAAGCTAAACACGAAGCCAGCAAGCTCCATGAGACATGTAAAAGGAAAATACAAGAATTCCTGCTACAGTTATTAAGCTTTATTGCTCCATTTTAAATTCTTCATTTTTAAGTAATCAGGAAAGATGTTTATTGGCAACAGCTGCACTGAAGTTGGTGGCATTATATTTTCCCTAAATGCTGTTACTGGGAGAAAACTCAGTGAATATTTATTGAATTGCTATTCTGGGCAAGATGTTGTAATATATGTTAAATATGCAGCCTAGTTTCTTATTAGATTTCTCTAAGCCCATAAACGCTCATAAAAATGTGTGGGTAGTGCTCTTTTTCTTCTCTTTATATACTTATGCCTTTTGCGGGGGCGGGGGTGGGCATGTTTTTATTTAAATGTCTATTGTTTGAATTTATTACTAGATTAAAATATGCATATATTTTGAATATGGCGGTAACTTCTTATTGAATTAAAAAGTGAATTGAGCTACAGTTCCCTGCTTACTTTTTTCCACCCTTCTCTCTTTCCCCACAAAGATGAGAAGTTTGAAATCTGTCCTACTACTTACTGTATTTTTCATTTTCATTTCCTGCTTACATTTAATCCACATCAGGGACAATGAAGAAATGCAACTTCATTACCCAGCATATGCAAGAGACTTGTTAGGTCTCAGTATTCAGATTTAATTGTATAACATCCAATTATCTGTTCTGTCTCTCTGTTTTCAGCTCAAGGCAGTGCATCTGATTTGGTACATTAGACTATAATTATACCAACCCTGTCTATGGGAAGAATTTTTCTATAGCTGTTTCCTCAGATTTGGTCTACTTTATAACTATCATACCATTCGTAAGCCACGGAGATGAAACCACATCTCTGTGAGATCGAAAAGGTCAATTGAAACTAGCAGCCACTTTTCTTCATGAAGTTCCAGCAGCACATTATGTCTGCTGATATCTGGGGAGACGAACAACTCAAAGAGAAGGGGTCATTTTAAAATAGAATGGCCTCTCTGTGCTTGACTCCTTCTCATCAGTAGCCTCTAAATGGCCTCTTGCCAAAACCAACCAAGTGTGGCGTCTGCACTTCAAAGCCATCTGCAGTGACACAGCAGCCTTCAGGGAAGGTCACTGGGTGGACAGTTCTCCATGCAGCCTTTGTAGGGCCCAGAGTACTGCTTCATCCCTCCCTAAACTGTAGTATACAACCTGCAGAGGCAAGGTGAGTCCAGTTCCGTGCTACCCCATATTACAGGGAGGGAAACAAAGGCTGGTATCTCATGGTAAATGCCAGACCTAACCCCTAAAGTCACCTGGGAGTGCACAGGGAGACTCATGGAGTACAACCAAGGCATGAGGCTCGAACCAAGGGACACTGGTCACCTGAGCTCACCCAGGAACCACAGTGGAAGGAAGAGACTGTACTAGGCATAGAACTGGAAGACAGAGTCATATCAAAGTAGGAAATTAGAAGGGGTTAACTGACATTGGCACAAAGAGAAAAGGCAAATGAAAACAAGAAGGCCTAGGAAAGACAGGCTAGAGTTGTCGGAAGACCCAGGGGATGATTGGAGGGAGGTTCTTTTTGCAGGCCAGAGATTGAGGCTCCTGGTCACCCCCTGATGATACTAAAGAACCCCCTTTCTAGGGAATACAAGAAATAATGTGGGCCCCAATATCAGAATGAGAAAAATCCAGTCTGGCCAGAAACTCTCAACTCGAGATGTATTTTTGATGCCTTCTTGAGTTGAAAAATTAAATCTGGGTTGGGTGTGGTGGCTCACACCTGTAATCCCAGCACTTTGGGAGGCTGAGGCGGGTGGATCATGAGGTCAAGAGATCGAGACCATCCTGGCCAACATAGTGAAACACCATCTCTACAAAAAATACAAAAATTAGCTGGGCGTGGTGGCATGTGCCTATAATCCCAGCTACTCGGGAGGCTGAGGCAGGAGAATCGCTTGAACTCAGGAGGCAGAGGTTGCAGTGAGCCGAGATCACACCACTGCACTCCAGCCTGGGCGACAGAGCAAGACTCTGTCTCAAAAAAAAAAAAAAAGAAAAATTTAATCTAACATATCTAACAGAGTAAAAAGATGCTTCTAAATCAACTATCCTGGTATTATCAGGAAAAGTTTACAGGAAATAGGTCTGAGCATTTGTCAATATAATAAGATATTTGCAAATCGGGTGTTTTAAGCCTGGAAAAATATTATACAAGGGAAACATGTTTTATTCATTGTAATGATAGCTATATTTATGCATAAGATATAACTAACGTTTTAGACTTTGTCTTATGACACAATGGAAGCCCCTATAATAATAGTTCTATCCAGAAGCCTGGCTTCTGTAGCTTTTCTCAATTAGGCACCAAGGGGGTAAAAAAATCTAATCTGTGTTGTCTGGGTTATGTAGGTCCACTTTTCAGTAGTTCACCGTACATCATTCCACATGATTTATCTTTTTTTTTTTTCCTTGAGACTGAGTCCCACTGTATTACCCAGGCTGGAGTGCAGTGGTATGATCTCTGCTCAGTGCAACCTCCACCTCCTGGGTTGAAGTGATCCTTGTGCCTCAGTCTCTGAGTAGCTGGGATTACAGATGCCCGCCACCATGACTGGCTCATTTTTGTATTTTTAGTAGAGACGGGGTTTCACCACATTGGCCAGGCTGGTCTCGAACTCCTGACCTCAAGTAATCCATTGGCCTTGGCCTCCCAAAGTACTGGGATTACAGGCGTAAGCCACTGTGCCCAGCCTCCACATGATTAATCTAAAGTTCTACAAGGGAGAAAAATGTATGTATACATCTACATATATATGCATATATATATATATACACACACAGAGAAAGAAAAAGAAAGATCAATAAATTTGTTCTAAACAATGAACCTGAGACTTGTTGCTAAAAGCTTACTGTATTTACCATAAGTTGATTTGTTTCATCTTTTTCTGTTTTTGCAGAAACCTAACAGTATCCTGAAACCTGATTACCAGCCCTTGGCCATAAAAAACATTTCCACCCTGCCTGTGAACTTGTTGCTGTCAACATCTGGACCGTTCTTTATATGTGAGACTGATAAATCCCTGCTGCCGGCAACTCCTGAGGTACCTTAATAGGGGGCTGTTCTGGCAAGCTGTGGGGGGTGGGGCGGGGTGTGATAAAGAAAGAGAAGAGTAACGATACGCCACCCAACTTCAGCTCAGAAAGATGTAAAGGATCCGGGAAGCAAACAGGGAAGACTACAGAAAATTTAAAATGAGTGGTAAATCCATTCCAGTATCAATCTGTAGAAACACTGCCATTCATGGTGAGAGCTTCAGCTCATTATAATCACCCTTCGCTCCTGCCCATTCCGATGAAGCGAAACCGCAGAAAGCAGGAACTTCCTACTGATGATAGTAAAGATCTTTTCATTCTCCTCCCTCAAGCCCAACCAAACCTCCATGCTGAAGGAAATGAGAAAATAGCCAAGTCCAGTCCCCAGACCAGTGAGCCCACCTCCGGATACTGAGAAGTCTGAGTAGGGCTGAGGGAGGAGGCTGAGGGCTCACTCCGGCCACCAGTCTGCAGTGGGATTCAGTGTTCTCTAAACAACCCTTCAAGATTGTCCCTGTGATCCTTTGCCAGGTGTGAGGACACCAATGGGAAAGGCAGGTCCATGGGCCAGTGACACTGTAGGAGAGGAGGATTGAAGGAGAAACCAGTCCCCACATGCCATTTTGCTCAGCCTCCCTCTCTAGGGAAACAGCTAATGAAGATGGGGTATGAAGGGGCGGGGGCAGGCAGCAATCATGAGATCTCAGAAGAGGGAGCCTGAGACTTAAGGAGATTCACCGTGAGCCACACTCAGGGAGATGGATCTTTGGGGAGAGCAGGGACAGCGTACTTGGTGACAGGGTGTCCCAACAGTACCCAACTGGAGGCTGTGGGCTGTGCCCCGCCCCTCCACCACAGATGTTTTGAATGAATAGGTCTCATTCAAGCAGGAGCTGGGACAAAACCAGCTAAGATCTTTGAATGGAGAAAGAAAAAGAGGAAATGATTATAAGCAAGGGGCAGATGAAAACAAACTGCAAGGAGATGCACCCAAGGAAGAAGATCAGAAGCACAAATATGTGTTCTCTACAGTCTCACACAAATTACAGATAACATGGCCTGTCCTTAGAAAGAGCCCAAGGAGGAGATGCAGGTATTGAAAGAGGAAATGCAGAGTGAACTCACAGAGCACAGGAGAACAAATGTGTGGGAAAAGGAAGATTCAGACATGCGCACCTTTCTCAGTCTGGGTGGTGGACAAGACCCACTCGTATCCCTCCTGAGATCTTTTTTTTTTTTTTTTTTTTTTGAGATGGGGTCTCACTCTGCTGCCTAGGCTGGAGTACAGTGGCACAATGTCAGCTTGCTGCAGCTTCAACTTCCTAGCTCAAGTGATCCTCCCACCTCAGCCTCCTGAGTAGCTGAGACCACAGGTGCCCACCACTGTGCCCAGCTACTTTTTTAATTTGTAGAGAGGAAGTCTTGTTATGTTGCCCAGGCTGGTCTTGTTGAACTCCTGGGCTCAAGTAATCCTCCCACCTCGGCCTCCCAAAGTGCAGGGATTACCGGCGTGAGCCCCTGTGCCCAGCCCCTTCTGAGATCTTAATAGGATAAACGTAGAAATTTTCAAAAGAGAAGGAAGCCAGAGCAATATAAAGGGGGAGGAGGATGGGCATCACCAAATAATGAGAGATTGAAGCCAACTTCTGGAAGATAGAATGAGGTTGGGAGTGGGTTGAAAAGAAGACACAAAAAATCTGCGTCCCAGAAAATATTCAAATGAAGTCATGAATGATGAAGGAGTTGTTTTGCCCAGTGGTCTGGAGTAGCTGCGGGATCACAGGCAACAATTATGAGAAGAGGGCAACAATTATAGGGATTCTATGTGCACCAGGCCCCATTCAGGAAGCATGGACAGCTTGCTTTTATCTTAAGAAAAAAAAAAAAATATATAGTGCTCTTCTTCAAAGAAATTGGTTAAAATGTCTGGGGAAATCTAGCGCTTCTAATGTTGCCAGTATTGACACCCCAGAATAAGCCCTCCTCACTCCACATTTGGATATCTGGGTGTGTCCACAGCTTGATGGCCACCTCTCTGCCTAAGGAAATTATTTCCAAGACAAACCCTACTACGAGAATTGAGAAACGGTGGCCTCTGAGTTGGTGGAATGACACAGTGGGTCAGGAACTATTGTTTTTTATAATAACTCTTACAGTACAGTTTCACTTTATATCATTTGCACGTATAATTTTAATAAAACCACACACATAATTTAAAAAATAAAGAGCTTCTTCAAACCAACAAGAAAAATACTAACAACCAAACAGAAAAACAAGCAAAAGAAAAGAGCAGGGGTTGACAAAAGGGAAAATAAAATAGCTTTTAAACGTGAAAATATGCGCAACTTTATTCATATGAATGAAAATACAAACTAAAATGACCATGAAATACGTTTTTTAACCTATCAGACTGGCAAAGAGCAAAAATTGGCTAGTCCTGTGTTTTGGAAGGACGTGTGGAAATAATCTCTTGCCATGCCGGACAGTGTATGTCATACATTGGAAGGCAATATGGTGGTAGCTATCAAGAATTTAAATGCTCATACCATTTGACCTGGAAATTCCATTCCTGGGAATTTATTCTGCGGACATAAACACAATACACAATATGACTTATATACAAGGATAAAACTGCAATGTTGATTATAACAGCAAAAGATTGGGAACTAATATCCATCAGTAGCACATTGGTTAAATAAATGGTGGCAGAATAATATAATGGAATGAAATGCTGCTAATAAAAAGAACGAAGCAGCTTCATATGCACTGATATTGAGTGATCTTCCAGTGAGAAAACTGAACTATAGAACAGTGTACATGATATGCTATCATGTGCAAAAAAATGAAAGAATATATAAATATGATATTATGTTCATAGAATATCTCTGCAAGGGTAAACAAGATACTTTTAACCTTGGTTTCCTCAGGGGAGGGAAACTATTGGCTTAGGTAAGAGATGGAGAGATGGGCACAAAATCAACTTGCTTTCCATTGTTCTGTCTATCCAAAATATCAATGAAATATTTTTTAAAGATTTTTAGAAATAAGGCTTCACCTTGTCCAGGGACAAAATGATATAAATATTTTTAGAAACAAGGCCTCACCTTGTCCTAGGACAAAATGATATGGAATATTCAAGAGTGAGACATATTTTAGTGAAGTTACAGGACTTATTGACAACCAAGGAATTCTATGGCATCTAAGCATAAGAGACCAATCAAGGGAAGATTTTGGACTAACCTCAGCCTTACACTTTAATGCCACATGGCAACAGAACAATGACTACAGAGTTTTGAGGGAAGGAAAGTTGACTCAAGAAGTTTATAACTAGCTAAAGTATCCTTTGATACTATTTGAGTGTAAAGGTAACAGACACTTTGAGTGTAAAGATAACAGACAGGGATGCTCAAGATGCAAGGAAATGTTTTCATTCCTGAGCATTTTATTTGATTCTTCTAGATGATCGCATGTCTTTGGCAAATTAGTTTTCCAGCAGGGGTGCATGAGTGCTGTATTCAGCATTCCCTTGCATCTTTGAATTCCACACTCATGCACCCCTGTTGGAAAACGAATTTGCCAATGACATGCGGTCATCTAAAAGAATCAAAATAAGGTACTCAGGAATGAAAAAACTGAGGAAAAGACGGATAGGAGGACTCAATCCAGTTAACTGTGGAACTGAGACTACACAACTTTGACAGAATTTCAGAGCAGAATGTTTTAAACCTCAGCTTTTAAAATTCACTATAGCCAATAAAAACTGGGAGGTGAGGGAAGCATGGGTGTACTGATTTCATTCCTTTTACTTTTTGAGACAGAGTCTCGCTCTCTTACCCAGGCTGGAGTGCAGTGGCGCAATCTCAGCTCACTGCAACCTCCACCTCCCGGGTTCAAGCAATTCTCTGCCTCAGCCTCCTGTAGGGTTACAGGTGCCTGCCACCACGTCCGGCTAATCTTTGTATTTTTAGTAGAGATGGGGTTTCACCATCTTGGCCAGGCTGGTTTTGAACTCCTGACCTCATGATCCACCCACCTTGGCCTCCCAAAGTGCTGGGATTAGAGGTGTGAGCCACCATGCCCGGCCGATTTCATTCCCTTTTACAGCCAGGTGTCAATAAGAGGTTGTCTAAGGTTGAAACTGCTTAACATTTAGCCATCTCTTTCCGTTGTTGTAAGGGGATAATAGTAATAGCTACCATTTAAATACCTTGCACTATGTGCAGGCACTGCCCTGAAACACCTCACATATACATTAGCTAATTATATCCTCCTAAGAAGAGGCAGGTACTATTGTTACCCTTGTTTTACAGATGGAGAAACTAGGCCCGGTATTTTGCCCAAGGTCTTACAGCTAGTAAGTGGCAGAACCAGGATTTGGACCTAACTACTCTGTCTCCAGAGCCTTTAATCTTAGGAATTAATATCCCTTGTATATGAAACATTTCTTCAAGTTTTTTTTTTTGAGAAAAAATTCAAACATGATGTTTTTTAAAAAATAATGTAGTCTAATTCCATTTTTGTAAAATCCTATTATTCCTCTCTCACGTCCGGACTAACATCTACCAAATGATAACTCTGAGAAATAATGTATTGTGAAATTTGGGATTAATTTCTCATTTCTTCTTTGTGCTTTTATATATAATGTAAATTTTTGTATCATTTCTACAAAGAAATAATATCATTTCCCTGAAAAAAAAATTAAGTCAATCTTCAAAACATGTAAACATGAAGCGTGGCGATACCGAGTGCTGCAGATGCCATGATTACAAGGGTGGGTCCTAACTTATGCCCAGCCCCTTGTGCCAGTGGTAAGATCAAAGGCCAGGTGGCTGGCCTGGCTTTCAGCTGGGATTAGGCCAATGCTGAAGAGTCATTACTCTCTCTCTGATTGTTGAATGAGGTACGTGGCTTTATCATCCAAAACCATCTAATCCTGTCATTAAATGTACAGTTAAATACTAGAATCCTTTAAGCCCAGCGGAAAGATGAGGCGCACCGAAAACAGATTCATTCCTGTGTTCATTCTTCCCGACTGCCTCAGGGCACTTGCTGCAAAACCACGAGGTGGCTTTCATGCCCATTAAATGTGGGACTTGAGCAATGCCTAAAAAAGCCAACTCATAGCCAGCCTTTCTACGGGAAGGTGTTACTGCAGACACTGGCATCAAGGAACACATAGGGATTGGAATCAAAGACAGAAAAGAACAAATAAAATGTACTGAACAAATGCTGTACAGCTCTGGACTGTCATTTTAAGTTGAATAGAAAACAGCAGAAAGTGAATGACACTGTGCTTAAAAGTTAGGATTGCTGACATTGGAAAAGAAATTAAATTACCTAATCTGCCCCTTTCTGGGTCACTCTCTACAGAGCTCCCCACCCCCACCCCCCAGTGCTTTAGAAAACCCTTTTAAAAATTTCTTAAGCAAAGAATTTTTCCCACTTGCCTAAGGGCATTTCACAACAGATTTATTTTTAGTTAAGAATATTTTATAATAGTTATTCATTGTAGACTTTTCCTTTACAACTCCTCAATTCTTATAACCCCACATAACACTCATCAAAATCTCTTCCTTTAAATAATTCCAGATTTTCGTTGCTTTCATTTTCAACTAATAAAATGTATATCCATATACGTAAGTATCTATACTTAGATGCAGTAGCTGTTTACATATGAATGTGTATATGTATGGTTTTCATACTAATATGTGTGTGCATAAATACGTGTGTATCTGTGTGTGTGCATAAATACATGTAATGTGTATGTGTAAATACCTGGCTGTCCTGTTTCATGTACCAGGGTGGAAATGCATAGTACAAAAGTTAGTAATTTCCCCATTATCTTGTTTGTAGCCTATTAAACTGGAAATTGATGAAGAAAAAAACCTGCTGATCAAGTTTGACCCCTCCTACAGAAACGATCTGAACAACTGGGTGGCAGAAGAAATTCTAGCAATTAAGTATGTGGAACACCCTCAGATAGACAGCCTGGACCTGCGCGGAGAAGTGCTTTACCCCAACCTCAGCTTTGAGACGATGGAGCTGGATTTTGGCTGCATCCTGAACGATACTGAGCTCATTCGTTACGTTACCATCACCAACTGCAGCCCCTTGGTTGTGAAGTTTCGCTGGTTCTTCTTGGTGAATGATGAGGATAATCAGATAAGGTACCCCTAGCGCAGAACTCTCACAGAATTCTGCTTTTCATTTGTTTTCTCTTTCAGGCTTTTCACAGGGTTTTCTATTTTCCATGTACTGGCCACTCATGAATATTTTCCGTTTTGACCACTAATTACTGACAGAATTAACAAGGAGCTTAAAGTCACAATCCATCCTAGATTTGCTAACAGGAAACATAGATAAAACGTCTTTGAAAGTCCCAATCACCACCGAATTAACAAAGCAATATCCATAAGCCCACTTTAATTTTGAATCTAGTGATAAGATCATTAGAAATTCATCACTAAAAAATAAAGTCTTTGTAGAATTTTTTAAATTATTATTTTATTGTGATAATATATATACAACTTAACGAATTTTTAAGTGTACAATACAGTATTATTGACTATAAGTAAACCAGATTTCTAGAACTTATCTTGCTGCACTGAAACTGTAGGCCTGTTGCCCATTCTCCTTTCTCCCCAGCCCCTGCAACCACCATTCTATTATTTGATTTTATTAACTATTTTAGCTACTTCATATAAGTGGTATCATGCAGTATATTATTATGCAGTATATATACTACTTCATATAAGTGGGATCATGCAGTCTGTTTTCATCCTGTTATAAAGATCTGCCTGAGAATGAGTAATTTATGAAGAAAAAAGTTTTAATTGACTCACAGTTCTACATAGCTGGGGAGGCCTCAGGAAATTTACAGTCATGGCAGAAGGTGAAGGGGAAGCAAGGCATATCTTTCATGACGGCAGCAGAGACAGCAAGTGAGAGGGGAACCGCCAAACACTTTTTTTTTTTTTTTTGAGACAGAGTTTTGCTCTTGTCACCCAGGCTGGAGTGCAATTGTGCTATCTAGGCTCACTGCAACCTCTGCCTTCCAGGTTCAACCGATTCTCTTGCCTCAGCCTCCTGAGTAGCTAGGATTACAGGTGCCTGGCTTTTTTTTTTCTTTTTTTTTTTGTTTTTGGTATTTTTAGTAGAAATGGGGTTTCACCATGTTGGCCAGGCTGGTCTTCAACTCTTGACCACAGGTAATCCACCCGTCTCAGCCTCCCAAGGTGCTGGAATTATAGGTGTGGGCCACTGCACCCAGCCCTGCCAAACACTTTTAAACCCTCAGATCTCATGAGAACTCACTCACTATCATGAGAACAGCATGGGGGAAACCACCCGCGTGATCCAGTTGCCTCTCATCAGGTCCCTCCCTCAGCATGTGGGGATTACATTTCGAGATGAGATTTGGGTGAGGACAAACAGCCAAACCATATCATGCAGTATCTTTCTATGACTGGCTTATTTCATTGAGCACAATGTCCTCAAGGTTCATCCATGTCATTTTTGAGGTTGAAGAAAATTCTAGCCCCTTGTATGTATATAACAAATTTTCTTTATCCATCCACCTGTTGATGGACATTTAGCTTGTTTCTACATCTTGGCTATTGTGAATATTGCTGCAATGAACATGAGAGTGCTAATGTCACTTTGAGATTCTGATTTCAATTCTTGGATAAATACCCAGAAGTGGGATTGCAGAATCACGTGGTAGTTTTATTTTTCATTTTTTAAGGAACTTCCATGCTGTTTTTCATAGTGGCTGCACCATTTTGCCTTCCCAGGAACAGTGTGCCAGGGTTTCAGTTTCTCCGCATCCTCACCAATGCTTGTCTGTCGTTTCTTTAGTAACAGCCATCCTAACAGGTGTGAGGTGATAGCTCACTGGGATTTTTATTTGCATTTCCCCAATATTTAATGATATTGAGCATTTTTTCTATACCTGTTGCCATTTGTAGATCTTCTCTGGAGAAATGTCTATTTAAGTCCTTAGCCCGTTTTAAAATTAGGTTATTAGTGGTTTTTTGCTATTGAGTTGTAGGAGTTCTTATATATTTTGGAGATTAACCCCCTATCAGATATCTGGTTTGCAAATATTTTCTCCCTTTCCATAGGTTGAATTTTCATTCTGTTCTTTCCTTTGCTGTGCAGAAGCTTCTTAGTTTGATGTGGTCACACTTGTTTATATTTGGTTTTGTTGCTGTTGAATTTTCTTGAAAAGCATTTCAAACTCAAAGCACAGACTGAGTAGGACCCTACATTGAGTATGTGCAACACTGAGCTCCATGTTGCCTGTTTTACATATTTCAATGGGTTTCTGTTCTAATTCATTTATGTATATGTATAGACATACACATAATTATAAAATAGTGAGAGGCTGCAATTGCTGCATTTTCTTCTTGGTTGGCAACCAGAACTAATGGGCTTTATATATTTCCTTCTTGGATGCTGTGACACTCAGTTTTTAGCATGTGAATATCGAACGGCCATTCTAAACTGAGGAAACCTCGTGTTGTTTCCTTAGGGGTTTGCAGTGCTTCCTGTCCATAATCCTCATCTTATGTATGACAGTCACCCTTTTCTCTCCTGCACTTGTTACCACGGTAACGATGGCTCGTGCTGAATGTCTTCCGTAGACATCTAACGATGACCTAGCGAAGCATTGAAACCGGCAGCCAGTCCTGGGCCTGAGCATTGCAGTCTGCTCATTAAGTGCCAGGGACTGTTTGGGTTTGGAATGAAATTCTGTAGATGGTGAACATTTAATATAATTATGGGAAAATCAGCCAACCCAACCTAATGCACTTCAAATACCAGATTTTGTGAAGTGATTCTGGTGTAACATAACTAAATGAGTTTATTCCATCTGGGAGCAAGGACATGCTTCATTTATTTTTTTATTTTTGAGAGGCTACTTTCATAATTAAAGGGATGAAATTTTGAAAATGTACTTGGCCACTGCTGAAGATGATACACTTAATTTTTCATTGGTTTAAGCATTTCTTTAACCATTTTTCTCTTTCTTGAGTATCTTCCTTTGTCTTGATAGTGAGCCTCTGCTTATAACTTGTTCGTTCTTTCATTTATTCAATCAGAGAGTCAGTCAGAAAACATTTGATAAGTGATTACTGTGAGCCACATATTGAGGAATCGGCAATATAAAAATGAACAAGACGTGACCCTTGTCCTCAGGCCAGTGGAGAAAGCAGACATGTACCAAAGTGGACTTGTGGCCATGCTGGGCTCTGTGGGTGGGAGGCCTGTGCCCAGAGAAGTCAGAAAAGGCTACGCTGAGGAGCCACAGTTAAATGTTCCAGATGGAGAGGCAGGAAGACGTTCTGAGTAACAGGAAAAGCATGTTATCTATTAGTTAGAATTCATGTGTTCACTCTGTTGCAAGTCATTGAAAACCTGACCCTAAGCAAAAATTAAAGGAAAGGAAATTCATTGGTTTTCACAACTCAAAATTCCAGATTCACTTTGGCTTCTGGCCTGGCTTAAAGCAAGGATCATACAATGTCATCATTGGAGCCAGGTTCTCTGCCTCTCAGCTCTGCTCAGTTTCATGTGTTAACCTCATTCCCAGATTAGCTCTTCTCTCCTAATCACCCAATGGCTGCCAGCACTGCTGGGGCCGTGTCCTTTTATACTCTGATCCACTGGAAAACAATATGAGGTCTTTCTCCTACAACTTCCAGGAGATTCACTCTGATCAGACCAACTGAGTCACATTTCTGTCCCCACTCCTCATCAGTCACTGTCAGGGGAGGGTGAGGCACTCATCGTGGTTGACCTGGCCACATGCCCCACACCAAAGGCTGTGGATCATGATCTCAGAACCAGATGGACTGGAGGGGGTGGGAATGGGGTAGATCACCAAACAAAAACTGACAGAGGGAGAATCGATGCTGGAGAGCAAATGACATGTTTCTACCATGGTGTTGGCAGAGGGTATGTCAGCGTGGCTGGTGGGCAGACCTCACTGGGTGGGAGAAGTTATGGGAGATGAGTCTGGAGAGGCATATTGGCAGAACTGTGTGAGAGGCCTGGTATTCCAGAAGGAATTAACGCTCTTTCTTGGAGGTAATGATGAGATTTGTAATCAAGAAGGTGATAGAGGTTTTTTCAGAAAGACAACACTTAGCAGCATTCAGCACAGTGACCAACCCCACTTTCCTGAAATGCATTCCTTTCTCAGCTTGCGGAACACCGTATTCTCCTGCTTTTCCTCTTGTCCCCTCAACCTTCTCAGTTCTCTGCCAGCAACAAATCCGCTGGAGTAGAAGGATGGAGGGCTCCATCCTAGGCTTTCTCCTCTTCCTAGAAATTGATGTGCCCCCATAGCTCCAGTCAGCTTCTTTTGCCGAGGCTTCCCAGTGCCTATCTTCACCGAGCCCCCTCTGCTGAGTTTCAAGTCTGTTGCCTTCTTGACATCTCCTCTTGGACATCCCTTGGATGCCTCCCAGGTGATCTATGCCTAATGTGTTCCACATAAGCTCTGTTCCCTCCCTGCTCACCCCCCGACTCTCCTCCAGGGCACCCTGTCCCGGTAAACGACATCACTGATCTCCTGGGAGGCATTAGGATTTCTTCCTCTCTCTAAGCCTACCTACCCCATCAAATCCACCACCAACTTCTACCTATTCTGCCTTCTGAAAACCTCATTCCCATTTCCACTGCTGTTACCCTGCCTCAAGCCACCATTGCCTGTTGTTGGGACCATGGTCACAGCCCTACCTGGGCTTTCTGCTTCCATGCATGCACCAGAGCTCCTACTCCTCTCAGTAGCCATGACACTGCCATGGCGTTAAGCCTTTCATAACTACCCGTGCTTCTTGGAATCAAGTACAGAGTACTCTGTTCTACAAGGCTCAGCATGTGCTGGTCCCTGCGTTCCACTCCAGTTTTGCTCTCTCCTTCCGGCACCAACCTTTCTGTTTACCCAACACACCGGCCTCTGTCCTGCCCAGTGCTGTTCCTGTCCAACTGCCCCCTTCTTTGCTGGAAGCTCCTTCCCAGCCCCACCTACCTGTCCCTGCCCCTTCTTCAGACTTCACCTTCATCATCCTTCTGCAGGAAAACCTTCTCCAAGACCCATCCTTAGGCCAGAGCCCCTGTCATGGACATTGGTACCCCCATCTCCTTGGTGACTCACATC